CCTTGATTTTAGTCAATGAGCCACTGCTAGTTTTCTTACAAAAAAAAAAAAAAACTGCGCTTGTGTTTACTCTTTACAAACACATTTTCATGGGCTGCCTACATGCCTTTACAGTAATATATGTATATACATTTATGATGTGATTCACCACCATAACACTCACCTGTCCATTCTTATCCATTTCATTATTAGTTAGTTTCACCTTCTCAAAGGAGATAACCTGTTTGCGCAACGCTTCACAGCTGAATGGACTATCCGGATGCGCATAGAGACGAGCTGGCGGTGCGGGATCAGCCTTACCGGCGACTAGCCAAGCCGAACGATGATACGCATAGCGATAACGTTTCGAGTCCATTGGTATGATATCGAGTAGCACAGCATAACGATCGGCAGGTTGTATTTGACGCAATGGACCGGAGAAGCTGACGCGTACAGTGGGGAACATGCGCCTAGAAAAAAAGGGGAAAAAAATAAAGCAAAATAAGTACAATTATGAAAAATCGGTTGAATGGCGGGAATATGATATACATATGTACATACAAACAAACAAAATATATGACTATGTTTTATGACAGTAGAGTGCTGTGATTTTTATTGCTGAGAAATGAGTGTAAGCATGTAAGTATGTACATATGTAAGTATGTATGTCTGTACGGGCGATAAAATCGAACTGTGTGGGCAAACTCGCCCAAGTTGCCAGCACCGCAGGTTGCCTTGTTGTCTATGTAAAATGTCTAAATGGTGGCTAGACCACTATTGCTATCTACATATCTGCGGCTACATGGATGTATGTATGTGCGTGTGTGCGAAAATCCTTAAATTTATGCCTTAAATCCTTTCTCACAGCGCGTAGCTATGTACGTACATACAGACTTCGGCCTGCCTTGTTCATTCCATATTCTCCACCTTGCTTTGTATCTGTCAGTTACATATTTTCTTTGCTTTGCGCTATTTGTGTTTTTATTATTCGTTGCGCCTTTGTTTGCCATAAACAAACCCAATTGTAGTATTTTTTTCCAAAGCTGTTTTGTTGCTGTTCTGTTGTTTTTTTCTTTCTTTGTTCACCTTTTTGTTTGCTATCTACTACCTTCACGCCAAGAAGTCAATGACAACTAGCAAGTATCCTGCGGTTTTAATGCTCCTAATACCAGATACAGACACTTTGACGTACATACATACATACAACAAAGGCAGTCAAGAAAAAAGAGATATGTACATATTACAACAACAACAACAACAACAAACACAGCAATATGCTTGAGTCGTCGACGGCCAAAATAGGCCTTTTGCCCATGCACCAGATGACATAACTAAGTTAAAACAACAACAATATATCTGCTGTTTACACCACCAAAGTCAAGCGGAGTGGAGCGCTGTGCAGCGGTGGAAGTAGTGAATTGAATGGCTGAATTCGTTACGGGGACCGCCCTGATTGTTAGGTGTGATTTTTACAATATCATTAAAGGTAAATGCAGGAAACGCACAGACTGCTTTTGGGTGTGTGTGTGTGTGTGTTTGCGCATTTGTGTATGTGCGCGCTTGTGGCTTTGCTGCATGTTGCCAATAAACAAGTTGCGTAGCAGTGTGCGTTTTGTAAAAAAGGGGCTGGTTGGTGGTCGTTTCATGGCTTCATTTCTGCGCAAATGTGGTTGTCACAAGCACCACCATTCGCAGCAGCAAAAACACGAGCGCGCACCACCACTTTGACAGCTAGTCAGTCAGTCAGCAGCACGGCGTGGATTTTTGTTTCCTGCTTTGAGATACAACCAGCGTTGCTTTGATTGCTGCACTGTAACTGGTTTTTGTTGTTGTTGTTGGTGTTGCGTGTGTGGTCAACAACATAAAAGAGTTCCACTTTATGACAGCGTCAGCACACAACTACTTGCACATAAAAATCGCACGACCCCCTAGCGTCATTTGCTGTCTTCGAGAAATCAAATTGCAAAATGCACCAAACCAGAAGAGGAAGAAGCAGAAGAAGAGCTGGTGAAAAAAAAAAAAACAATTAACAATTGAAAATAAAATGCAATTCGCAAAAAAGCCATGCTTAGTGGTTGTTGTTGACAACTGCAACGCCCTGTCTTTTTTTTTTTGCTTTTTGCTACAACCTGGCTAAGAGCCTACAAAGTACATAGAGGTCGATAGAGGAGTCTACATACGATATTGTTAGCAAGATTGATTGTTTCAGACATGTACCTAGGAGCCGTTGTTTCGAATTGTTCCATATTCTGACATTTGTGTGTTACACCAACTGTTGCCACTCTTTTTGACATCCTCGATTGTAGCGCACAAGAAATCAATGGCCGCAGTTTTTTAATTACGAATGTGCTGAATTGGACCGCACACGTGCAAAATTTTTTCACAGAAATTTTCTTAGAAGTGTTTACTTTTACTTCTGTTCGAAATGTTGATTTGTTTGTTAGAAGTGTAGAAAAGTGCGAAGTTTGGAAAAATTTGCTCTTTAAGAAATTAATTGTGTTGAGTTATCTAGAAAATTGTTTATGTTCATATATGCACATATATAAATAAATGCTATGGTGTTCGACTATTCGCCTTATTCCGAAAACCGGTTTTCGAGTTATGCGAAAAATGGTAATTAGAAAATACCGGTTCCCCATTTTCAAATTGACAAAAAATCGGATGAACTGTTTAATTTTACATATTTTGTCTACAGTAACACTTAGATGCTACTAGTTAAAAATCATGACCAAATTTACAAAATGACTCCTAAAAATTGGCTTTCATGAAGAAATAAATTTGTCAAAATAAGTTCCTAGTATATTAAGATACAAGTAAAACCGAAAAATGGGGGTTCAGCGATCGTAACAAGATTAGATCGCTACAACAACAGCTCTTTTTTTCTAAAAGTATATTATAGGCAGACCATTCAGCAAGAATCAATCTGCACCTTCGTCAAATCTCACGCCTTTGAATTCCATCATCGGAGACCAACGTCACCTATCGCAGACAAAGAGCTCGTGAGGTTGGCGATACTTGGACACAACCCTATTCTGATATTGAAGCAAGTTAAACTGTTCAGCCCAATTTGTATAAGATGCCCGATGACATTAGCCCACCTCTTTATATGACCACCCACATCAGCTCCTCTAACATCCCTCTCCCTACAGCCCAAACCCGTTAGATGAGCATGAAGACAAAATGAAGCCGATTCACTGGTTTAGGCAGAGTTTAGAAAGCTGCTGCAACAAAAAAATCAGTGAAAATTGTTGGTTCGATGTTCCTTTTATTTATACATATAGTAGTTTTCTGCAGTAAAAAATTCTCCAGTAGTCAGATGCAAAATTAATAAAAATAAATATTTTCAATCAAATAAATATTTGAAATTTATAGATCATTGTATATAAATAAACAAGGTGCAAACCCAGTTTATTCCATTTTAAAAATCCGTTATACTCAGGATTCGTAAAATCCTGATTTCAAAAAAGGTGACTAATAATGTTCAAAAAAAAAACGGTTGGAACCAGTTTGGAAAAACCGAGTCATTCTCCTTAATATATACACTGAGAAAAGAGTTTATTTACGTCAACTAAATACTAAAAAGACAAGAGCAGTCAAGACGATTTATACATACAAATATTTCATCCGCATACGACTCATAGTGTTTAGACTATATGGGGGCAGGTAGAAAAAAGTCATGGTGTCAGTTGATAAAAGAACCGGTTGGGCTTAGAGAGAGAAAAGTAAAGTCCTAA